TCAAGAACGGATGTCTCTTAGGGAACTCTTTGATAAGCACAATGTTGTTATAACTTCATATGATGTCATCCGCAAGGACATTGAGTACCTTGGGCAGTTTCTTTGGAATTATTGTATTTTAGACGAAGGACATATAATCAAGAATGCCAAATCTAAAATTACAGCTGCGGTAAAGCAACTGAAAGCCCAACACCGCCTAATACTCAGCGGGACTCCAATCCAGGTTAGCATCAGTCAAAGTTGCATAGATAGAACATCATGCTTTATCTGATAATGGCTCTTGGATTGCAGAACAACATCATGGATCTATGGTCACTGTTTGACTTTCTGATGCCTGGCTTTCTTGGAACAGGAGAGACAAGTAAGCTTGTTTTCGTTAGTGTGAAGTATATCATTTGTAGTCTGCTCTTAAGGATATGTCTACTTGCCATTTCGAAATGAATGGAACAGTATCCTTCCTTTTCATTTATTTTGTGCTTGATTGATACTTTTCCAAGATCCCTGCTTTTTTTAGCAACCTTATTGTGTAATTTGGATTCTTGTCTCTGAGTAACGAGTGTCAGGAAATGGAACATAGTTCTTGCTTGGTAGTCATGTTTTATCTGGCTTAGAACTGTTTTCCATTTCTTGGTCCAGGGTATCTACAAATACCTTTAAGCGTTTTTCCAAACTACCGTGTTGGGATTCAAAATCTAATGCCATACATGCTTCCACGTCAGCATTTAACTCTCCTCCTCCCATCAGAATTCCGCTCCACAATGCTTCCCCACAATTTTGGGTTTGTAGAATTTTTTTATTTATTTTTAAATTCATTCCTTCAAAGTTCAACCGTCCTTTTTTTTTCCTGGTAGTTTTTTTCCTATCCGTGAGAGATTATGTGAGAGATTGTTTTTGTACTTCTTAATTTCCTCTCCCTTAAAATTTAAAACTCCTCCTTCACGTAGGCTTTCTTTTCCCCCTTTTGTTTTGGTTGTTTCGCTTTCATAGAGATATAAGAGTGATTATGGAAGAAAATATTATTATATTTTGTGATAAATGGTTCTCTATTTATAATTAACAATAATTAGTTGTTCATAAAAAGATATAAAATATTTTTTCTACCTATTTATGATAGATATATATAACTTCAAAAAAGTGTATATGAAAAATATAATAAGGAGTTAATTAAAAAAAAAAAAATCTTCTCCACCGCAATCCTTCTTAGAATTTCTCTCTATGGCACTTAGTCATATGTCAATATTCAACCATTATAAATTGAATGTCTAACTTAAGTATCATTGATGAATGTGAACTACTTATTTGAGAAATAAACAATCACTTGGTTACGATCTCATAAATTTAAAAAGATAGTTTACAAATATTTCCATGAAAATAAATTAACTTAACAAGTTAAAATAGTTATCTGCAAATCACTTACCTGATAAGATAAAACACGAAACTCACCCGGCCAAAGGTCGGGAACAAAGCTAGTCTTATAGATAGGTGTTAAGGTAAGCCTTAAACTAAGAGGGGGACTTGTTGATGATGAGGTTGAACATTTCTGTATATGGTGATGAACTGATCCCTTTGGGTGTCAAGTCATGTCCCCTCACATTCTTCAACTATTGAATCACTTATTCTATGTTAAATTGCAGTTTCAAGCTACATATGGGAAACCGTTGTTGGCTGCAAGAGATGCGAAATGTTCTGCCAAGGATGCTGAAGCTGGAGCGCTTGCTATGGAAGCCTTGCACAAGCAGGTCTGGTCCCTTCTGTAATCGTGATTTTAATTATCGAAAGTTAGCAAAGATGACACTGGAGTAGAAAGCCTGCTTTACTTTTCTCATTTCCTGGGCAATTATAGAGAATGAAGTACATAATAGTAAGATAGGTGCCTATACTCAGCAGCTTAGCTGTCTTGTGAGCTTAGCGCTCAACAGTTAAATGGAACTATCTGTGCAGCTTCGCCTACAGGGTGCTTGGGCTTTAGGAGGGTGGGTTCTGTCTTCGTGTGTGTTTGTGCCCATAATTTACCTCGGTTTGTTGGACCAGGTGATGCCGTTTCTTCTCCGGCGGACAAAGGATGAAGTTCTATCTGACCTGCCTGAGAAAATTATTCAAGATAGATACTGTGACCTTACTCCTATCCAACTGCAACTCTATGAGCAGTTTTCTGGTTCGCATGCTAAAAAAGAGATTTCAAGTATGGTAAAAATGCACGAGTCAGCAGATACAGAAGGGTCTGCTGCCTCACCTAAAGCATCTGCTCATGTTTTTCAGGTACTATATACTGTGCTCAACTCTTTTGATTTGTTTATCTGGGTGTAGTCCATTTTGAATACATTAATGATCTTCATGTGCTCTTTATTTCAGGCAATTCAGTATTTGTTAAAGCTCTGCAGTCATCCATTACTTGTTCTTGGTGATAAGATGCCTGAATCAGTCTCATCCCAGCTATCTGAGTTCTTTCCTTCAAATGCTAACGTGATTTCTGAACTACACAAGCCACACCATTCTCCAAAATTAGTTGCTCTCCAAGAGATTCTTGAAGAGTGTGGCATTGGCATAGATGCTTCAAGTTTTGAGAATGTTGGCACAGTTGGGCAGCACAGGGTTCTGATATTCGCTCAGCATAAAGTAATATGTCCTTTATTCTTTCGGCGTTCCCAATTGTTTCTCTTAAAATGTGTTGCTCAGAAGTTTTTCTCTTTTTTTGTAGGCTCTGCTTGACATCATTGAGAGCGATTTATTTCATGCTCATATGAGAAGGTGAGTTCCCTAATGCCATCTTAATATCAAATATCTTATTTGCCTTGCAGTGTATTTTTCTCGTTTGAAGTGTGCAGATATTTTAGTTGATAGTTTTGCATTCCCTTGTCTGTTTATGTGAAAGCAAGTTATTACAGCTCCAGTTAGTTTGGATACACAATGTTGGTTGCTTTTCATTCAACTCTAGTCATTTTTCTGTGTTTTGTGGGCTGTATGTATGCGGGTGTCTTTTCTGATTTTTCTGACCGTTTGTAAACCAGTGTCACATATCTGCGGCTGGATGGATCTGTGGAGCCAGAAAAACGATTTGGTATCGTAAAAGCATTTAATTCCGACCCGACTATTGATGTCTTGTTGCTCACTACTCATGGTACTTCATTTTCCTTCCTACCAAGACTTTCTGATTTGAATTTAGCATTTTTTGGTTGATTGATTTTGCCTGGTACTGTAACCAAGTGAATCTATCATATCTTTTTGTTCTTGTTTCAGTTGGCGGGCTTGGGCTGAATCTCACATCTGCGGACACCCTCGTCTTTATGGAACATGATTGGAATCCTATGCGAGACCATCAGGTGTCGTATTTTATTTTATTGCATATGTTGGTTCTCTTCATTACATGTTTTGTGGGTTGAGTTTGTTTGGGCTAACTGGAAATAGAAAGTTCCCATTAAGGATTTTTAACGTATTAACGTCCTATCGTTTTACTATCATGGCTCATAAAGTGGGATACCAGTGCAATGTTAGAAAACATAGGAAGTTTAGGCACATCGTTGTAGTTTAATGGATCCACAACATATATGGCCATTTTCTTCTTTTCTCCTGTTAATTTTTATGAACGGAGATATTCTTTGGCTTCTGCAGGCAATGGACAGGGCACATAGATTAGGCCAAAAGAAAGTAGTGAATGTTCATCGACTCATCATGCGGGGTACCCTGGAAGAGAAAGTCATGAGTCTCCAAAGGTTCAAGGTCTCAGTTGCCAATGCAGTCATTAACTCGGAGAATGCTAGTATGAAAACAATGAACACTGACCAATTGCTTGATCTATTTGCATCCGCGGAGACCACTTCAAAGGTATTATTTTACGGGACACAACTTACTCCTAACATTCATATGAGGATTGGGGTGTGTTTGTTTTTCCTTTTAAGTCAATTTTTTAAGGCCACCTTTCTTGTAGACGGATACAAATATATGTGTCGAGATTTCCACCAACCAAACTTGGTTTGTTTTAATCAAAACAGGGAACGACCGCCTCAAAGCGTGGAGATGGCAAGTTTGATGGAGACCCGAAACTGATGGGTACAGGGAAGGGAATGAAAGCCATTCTGGGTGGGTTGGAGGAGCTATGGGATCAATCCCAGTACACCGAGGAGTACAATCTGTCGCAATTCCTGGCCAAGCTCAATGGCTGAGATGTGAGAAGCACCCTCTCAAAGTCGACTCAACTCTACTAGGCAATCGCTCCTGTACAGTGTATATTGTTCCCTTGGTTTAGTTAGGAAGCAAAATTTTGACGTTCTTACCTTCTTATAGTTGCCGTAGCTAAATTTCCTCATGAATTCTGCCCAAAATTATTATTTTCTTGCCAACTCTTATTCGAGCAAGCAGTCAAATGTGGGTAACAAAAGAGAAAAGAAAGGAAGAGGTCTGGTTACGTCCCAAACAGAAGGCGCTATAAGAATACCAGCGAGAATATTAGAGTCGCTGAGTTTTGTGTAAATTCAGTCAGATTCCTTCCTTTCTTGCTTGCATATTGTTTTTGTGCTGGACGAAGAATCCGCAGCCACAAGTGACGACGACCCTTCTATTTTGTAAGACCTGTATAATTAAAGCCTTTGTGATGTATTGCTGCTGAATTCAGCCAGTTAAGCTTTTTTGTGTTTGTTGCGTATTTAATTGGGCACATTTGGTCACTGAAATTATATATTATGGCATATTTAATTACTAGAAAAAATTAATATCAATTTTGGTCACTCGAATTATTGAAACATGTCACATTTAGTTACTCTCTCGTTAGTTTTCGTCCAACTCTGCTAACGGAGAGTGACGAAATGTGACATGTTTCAGTAATTCGAGTGACATTTATAAGGAAAAAAAAGTAATGCGAGTGATCGAAGTTGGATGGAAGCTAATGGGAAAGTGATTAAATGTGACTCGTTTTAGTAATTCAAGTGACCAAAATTCATATTAATTTTTTTAGTAAATAAACATAACACGATTTAGTAATACCACTGACCAAATGACATTTACTCCTAAAGTATTCCGTTTCTAGTTGACTTAGTGTGTACTTAACTCCTTATTGATGGTTTCTTGCGAAACAAAAGGCCCATATATCCAGATGTTCTTGGCACGCACATATCAAGGAAGCTATGTAGAGACTGGTATACATGCTTTAATCTATACAAGAGAGCTATGTACACTTTGTTCTCGATTCCCAGCTCACATAACTATACAATTGGTTGGCAATGGCTTGGCTGCCAGCCAAAAGAAATGCACTTAATTTGCTAAAAGCATATGGCCATAACCCATCAACACTTCGCTTTTCAACAAAAGGGTTAAAATGCTTAAGAGCATGGGGATTGTAGTGATTCATAATTAGTAACATGTCTTGTGCTGCACTAATCTTCTCCAACCGGGTAACTTGATGAAGCACGATGTACCTTATCTGCATACGCAGTAGGAACGTAAACGGCGTTCAGCAGAGAGCTGTGACTCCGGCCATAGAACAAGTAGATAACTGCTCCAATCAACAGCCATACTGATACTCGGAGCCACGTCCCACCCCTGCACCGCATTTCTGTTTCATTAGAACGAGGAGCAAAATCGCAAAGATCGATGCTTGCTCTCAGCTTTTCGCTTAAATTGCGAAATGCTCTTTTTTCTACTGTCATGACTCATGAATATTAACTCACCCCAGATTCACCAGCAAGTACGTGTTGACTAGAATGCAAGCAACTGGTAGGAATGGAACGAGAGGGCAAGTGAAACCTGGAAAGGTTTAAACGATAGTTTATCAATCAATGGCTCTGGGTAGTCAATGGCATGGCAATTACAGTACCTCTATACTTAAAATACCTACCTCCTGCGTGGCCAAAGCTGTGCCTCCCATTATCCTGAGCTATGCAAGCTAGAATGATCAGACCACACAAAAGAAGACCCCCACCCACTGTACAAGATGTGAAACGTAGAAGCCTGGAGAGAAAAACCGCAATGTTCAAAATCACAAGAACTGATACAGGTTAGATAACGTTACAAGGAAGTCGGCAAGCATATGGTGTAAGAAACCTTGGTAGGTACTCAGAAGAAGCAGAATATGTGAGAATGAGAACGCCAGTGCAGACAACAGTTATGCTCCAAGCAGCAATCATTCGCCTCTTTTCGTGATTTCCATCATCTAGGTCATTCACAAAAAGGACAAAGAAGTTAGGTATATTTGCAAGGCAGTCCCTCCAAAGCCTAAATCAGCTAGTCAGGGAACTGCCAGCAACTGACATTTTCAGACTCCTGAGCTATTTTGAAGACACTGACTGAATCCCTTTTGCACTTTGAGCAGTTCACTTTACTTGAGATTTAAAAGCCCGTATATGATGCACTAGCACAAGTTTAGAGGCCACCAATTGGGATTGCAAAAGCAATTGAAGCGGGAAGAAAATGGGACAGCATTCAATGATAATCACCAGAGAGAGCAGTACCTTGATCAATTTGTTTGTGCCCAATAGAAGTGCTAATCGAAGTCCCTTCACTGTGATTTAATCCTTTACCATGATCAAAGAACTTGACAGGATCCTTAAATTTCAAGCTAGAAACATCCTCAACATCAGTACCAAGCAGCAAAGGTGAGGAAGCATCAATAGACCCATGAAATGACGAGACAAGTGGGACTACATCTGGTGGAACGTATCTCAGTATCAGGACAGAAACCGCAACAGCAGTGAATGCAAGTAGTGTGCCCACACTCACCTGTTTAAAGAAAAACAAAATGTAAATGAAATTTCTACTATTCAATATTCACAAACTTGCAGAAAGTTTCTTGACAATCCACTCACCATCCCTGCTAACTGTGAAACATCCATGAAAAAGGCTAGGGCTGCAGCAAGAATCCCGATCACTATCGTACTCTTTACTGGAACTTGAGTGTGTTTATCTATGTCTGAAAAGAATGACGGTAGCAATCCATCTCTAGCCATAGCCATAAACATCCTGGGCTGAAAGGAAATGAAGGATATTAAATTGTTAACCATAGAAGAAAGACACCACAAATCCTTCTGCCCAAATTTTCCTCAGTGACAAAAACATATTTACCAGAGTTTCAAAGTGGAAGTGCCCTACGATTCCATATTATTTTTTTGCTAAAGTGAACTAAAGTCTTAATTTACCTGTGGAAGAAGTGAACCCATGAGACTTGCACAAAGAGCTGTTACTGCCCCTGCTGTTATTATGTACCTGCCGAATGATAAATTATAGATGGGGTTATGGACACCACCAAAGCAGGTGGCTTGGAAATTGAAAGAGTTGGACATTCCTATTAAAGTTCATGCTTACACTGCCCACTGCATCCCATATGAAGCAAAAGCTGAAGAGATTGGTGTGTCTGGATCAAGTGCATAGTATGGCACTAACCCAACGACGACAACAGAAACAAGCATGTACAAAATGCAACATATAGATAATGATATGCCCATACCAATGGGCAAATCTCGTTTTGGATTTTTCACCTGTCCCAGAAGGAAACCATAAATGAAAAAAAAAAAAAATTAAATGGAGCCATTGTTCCACATCTTTAACTATTTTGTTCCAGTTTTTTTTCCACATTAAATACACTTTTTAATCAGTGTTCATAATATACCTCTTCAGCCGTGCTAGCTACTACATCAAAGCCAATGAACGAAAAGAACACTATCCCAGATCCTGCAAGCATCCCATTGAATCCAAAAGGAAGATACCTACAATAAGGAGGAATATAGAGTTGGTAAAATTAGAGCTCACCACTAAGAGGAAGCCAGGAAGAAGGTACCATACAGTACTGGGTTTTTTACCCGGTAGCCAGATCATATCCAGGCCATCCGTTCTTGAAAGCTATGTATCCACCAGCTGTTATGATAAAGATCATCCCGCATATATTTATTGTTGTCACGACAGTTTGTGCCAATGAACTCTGTCAAACAACAAAGCATTACCATTAACGGAAAACAATTCCAAAGACATCCATGACAACTTCAAGTGAATCTGAAAGATAACTTCAAAATTCAGAAAGCAAGATATATTATTTAGCACCTCTTTGATTCCCATGCACAAAAGTATAGTCACAATGAGAACCAGAACCGCTGCACAAGGATCTACAACGATCCCTAGTGCGGGGATGGTGTGGCGGGACAATAAAGACGGCAGGTTTTCCTGTCCTCCAAAAAATAATGCCTGCAATGAATTGCACAAGATCAGTGTTACAGAAATCCCAGAATTAGGAGAGATCACAAGGAATGCAGAAATAGGGATTAGGGTAGGATGAATTGAACCAGATTTGGAGTTAAGCCACGAGCAATAGCTGAACCTCCAAGAGTGTATTCAAGAATAAGCGCCCACCCAATTAACCATGCAGCACTGGGAAAGCCATAGCTCATACTGAGTCATTAAGAAACCATTTCATGTTCATAGCTTTCAAATAAACATCAGCCTAGTATTATTACCCTTCTCCTATGCAGATGTAAGCATAGTGATAGGCACTTCCAGCAGAGGGACACCGGCTTGCGAGTTCAGCATAACAAAATGCAGAGAGAGCTGCTGCTACTCCAGCAATCAGGAATGAAACAGTTAGAGCAGGTCCTGCCTGCTCTCTCGCTACTGTTCCAACAAGAACATACACACCAGCGCCAATTGTAGCTCCCACTCCTATACATCCAAGGAAGCAAAGAGTTCAGTAAAGGTATATGTTATCTCTTTCTCTGGTCTAAGACTAAGAGTATTTGGTAAATCACATAATAGATTTACTAAGGCAAACCAATGACTCCAAGTCAAACTTTTTGTTCGATATACAAAGCAGAAAGTGACAACAAAACACAGCAAACTAAGATTCCTGAACTGACGATAGGGAAGCGTCCATTGCTAAATTCAATTAGCCAAAGGCAAACGCAACCCAGTTTCGAGATACTGGAAAAGTTGCACTCTTTGTATGTAGAAAGGATGTGAACCGATTAGAACCGGAATTACCAATGGCAACGACATCAATAACAGAGAGTCTCTGTGCCAACCGAGGCCCTTGTTCCCTCTTGGCCAGAACCGAATCAACTTGCTTCCTCCTGGCCAAACTCCCAAACCCTGACGATGAGCAATACTTTGCTGCAGAATTGCTGCTGCTGTGCATATTACGACTAGCAACCATCGAAACCGACCAGCAGCTCAAAAGCTCTGCCTTCTCTCTCTCTCTCGCTCGTTGGCGGCCGTTCTTCAATCGTGTAGAAAAACAGGGGAAAAGAACAAGATTCTATCTTAGTATCTTATCGGCTCGGGGTAGGAGACGCCCAAATCCCGTCCTGATCCCAAAATAAAGGACTGGAATGGAAGTAAAGCAGTAGCACGCAATTCCACGCACGAAATCGAGAGAGACAGACAATGATGGGTCTTTTCACTTCTTTTAAGTTTTGGATTTGGTTGGAGAAAGGAACAAAATGAATCCAGCACGGGTTTCAGTCCAAGTTGCTCTCGCCTCGTCTATTTGTATAGTTGCTGTTTGGCCCGCCAGCTGAGTTGACTATGAACAACCATTCGCCAGCTTCTCACGCTGCGCCTCGTCTATCATCAACTAACAGATGAGCTGATGCAGCAATGATTCATCTCCTTTTCGCTAAATCAATTCCTTCACTTCTTCTGCTAAAAAGAAGCTTTCATTTTCAACAAAAAAAAAAAAAAAAAAAGAGGTTTCATTTCTTATTTTTTCCAGAAAAGGAATAATTACAAAAAAAAAAAAAAGAGTACACATACACCTAGAGGTGGCAAATGGATCCATCCATGGATTCGTGGATTGGATTGGTGGATTCATGGATCAAATGGATTTGATCAAGTGGATTGTTGGATTATCCATGAATCCAAATGACATCCTCAACCTTTGACCAATATGTAAAATGTGAAAAGTTTAGGTACTAAAATGTTGTATTAAAAAATTTTAGGTACCTAAACATAATTTTCCAATGAGATTTTTCATATAAAAAATTAAATTTTAGGTACCAAAATGTAAAATATAAAAAGTATAGGTACCAAATCATAATTTTCCATTTGGATCCATGAATCCACCAATCCAATTGAATTTGGATTAAATGGATTGGATTAGGTGGATATTTTTAATGGATTGGTGGATTGGATTGAGAATTGTCACCTCTATACACCCAATAATCTAATGAGGCTAGAGAAATTGGTCATGGTTAACATATGATATGATGGGTATTGCCTCTAGAAGTGATGTAAATGTGGATTTGATGAAAATGGCGGATGCAGGATATAGTAGATTACGGAGTAAATACTTTGGGTATCACTTAAATTTGAGAATTGGAGTAGACATATGACTTAAGTTTGAATAGGGCGTCGAGTACCATTAAAGTTTTCGAAATGTGCATCCGTCTACTTTTCCATCCAACCCAAACTTTTAATTATTTTTTGATACTCGAAATTTTCAAAAACATCCAAAACTATATTTCAACAAGTGTTATTTAATATAATAATTAGAAAATCTTCTATACATATTATTACCAGAATGACTAATTAAATTTTTTTCAATAAAATAGATAAATTAGTAAAAATAGTAAACGAATATCAAGAAGAAGAATAAATATCCTAGAATATAATAATAAATATTTAAAATATCTTTTTAAACTCCATAATTCAATTAGAAGCATCATTAGAAATAGTTAAAATAGTTTCACGAAAACAAAATAGTTAAAATAGAACCTAATAGATCATTAATACATCAAAATAAAAAAAAGGATAAATGAAACACAATCAGAAAGAATTAAACATATTTCACTAATTAAAAAATTTAGAACGAAAAGAAATGTAAAGTAACCAAGAATAAACAAAATATAAAAGCTACAACATTCGGTAAAAAAATATAGAAAAGAAAATATGACTATAAAAGCTACAACATTGTTTAATTACAACATTCATGAAATAATTTAATTATTAGAACACATAATGATAATTGATTCTAAAATTTCTATTCAAAACTTGGTTTGGTATCGAGTATTCAAAAGAGGATTCTAACTAAACAATAAAAATTGATATTTTTCATAAGTCCAAATGATTTTTTTACAATAAGAAAGTAGAATGACCAATTATGAAATTTAGAAAATGGAATATTCCAAGAATATTCTGTCAACTTTAATGGAATGCACTTAACAGTCAACTTAAGTGGTACCACATATAATAGAGTTATGAGTGGTACCGACACCTTATTCAAACTTAAGTGGTATGTCTACCCCAATTCTCAAATTTAAGTGGCACTCGAGGTATTTTAACCTAAATTACGGGCTAAGCTAAGCTAACTAAGGGGGGTCCTTTAGTCATGTGACTAAGTGCATTTCAGCCATCCAATCTCATTTATATCTGATGGCTCTAAATAATCTAATTTAATGAACGGTATAGTGATAATTTCATGTATTATTCATTTAACAATTAAAATAATAATTAGGGCAAGTTGGTGGTTCCTCCACATCCCATCCGTCCCACCAGACTGTCTGAGAAATTATTGTCCTAGAGAGAGAAAATTCCCAGCGACGTCGGATTTTCCGGCGACCAGAGATGGCAGAGGAAGATTTTTTGACGGCAGTGCTGGATTCGTGATGTTTGTTGACCTATTTTGTAATGTTTATATTAATTTGGTTCGTATCGTTTATCATTCTACTTTGTTATTTTTGTATATTGTGTTTATAATGTTTATATGACTAATTTGTATATATTTTTATTCATAATATTTGTTACTCTGGTTTGTATACTTTATGTTATGATTTGTATGCTTTATATTCATTGATTTGTAGTACAATTTTACCAATTTATATTGTAAGTAGTGTTATTTTGTACTGTTAGTATGCGTTGTACGGTTTGTCGGGTTATTCTGTAATGTTTGTAAGTTTTGTTATTTTTTGTAATGTTTGTAACCTTTGTTATTTTTTTGCACCATTTTTGTCAACCATGTTTGTAATATTTTTTATATCTAAAAAATAAGCTGGTTGACTTTTGGATGAAACTTCTCTATATAGAGATGGAGTCTCCAAAGTCAACCCGGATGTTTTTCTATTTTGTGTGGTTTGTATTATTTGTCGGTCTAGTTTGTATTTTTATACCGTTCGTATGTTTTGTATTTTTTATAAATCTGTTTGTATGTTTTTAGTGCTATTTGACATTAAACATTGCATATGAATATTATTAATGGTTTTTTTTTATTTTTAATAAAATTCTATTTCTTGTTAGTGACTTGCTCATTTGTTATTAATATCATTATTACTAAAGCTTGATGTCATTTTTTAATGTTGAAGTCGGACATTATTATATGGGTATATTGATGTTTTGTGTTTATTTTCAAAGAAATACTTTTTTTTTGTTATCAATGATTTATTGTTATTAAAAGTTTGGTGTTGGGGTATGTTGGTTTGCTTGAACTAATATTTTTCTTTACTAACGTTTGCTTGACTAAATCACAGGTGCACTATGTCACAAGTGTCGAAGATGTTCAAAATCAGTCTTGTGCTTTATGATTATTGACAATGATAATGTAAAGCAATATCAATCAATCAGTAGACCTCGTATTTTCAATTATCACAAACTATAAATCTCGTAAGCCATAGCTTCAGATTTTTCAATTGCTCGAAGGGGGGCAAATAAGGGATGAAGAGTAAGAGGACGCACTTGAAGACGGAGACCTGAGCTCCTTCCCAGTGTAGTCGTTATCCACCGTCGGCGAGGAACATAGAACTGAGGGTATGTTTTGTGCGGAGCTGACCAGATCGATGTCGACAGAGGGGGTGTATAGGTCGCTGTCGACAGAGAAAGAAGGAGGAGTTTAGGCCAAATGGTTTGGCGGACTTTGGGCTAGGGCCTGTTGTTATTGTCGCAAAATCAATTATGTTCCAAGATCAAAACGCAGCGCGATACTTAATAAAAGTCAGGGTAAATGACCTAATCACCCTTCCGAAAATCAATCCCAGGCTAGCAAATTCAAAATGGGGCAATTCCAACCAATGAATCTGCTTTGTATATTGTACATAAGCTTAATACGATTTTGGTTCGTGCCATAATTGGGCTTCGGGCCGAGGAAGGGAGGAGGAGAAGTTGGCTAGGGTTTGAATGAGAAGGGGAATTTTTTGGGATCAGATTGATTGGGCTAAGGCTAGGTTTTGGGTCTAATGCTACCAATTTTAAGCTCCATAGAGCTCGCTTTGGGTTGGATCAAGGCCCTTCTTTTCTAACCCATATGTTCTTCTAGGATGGGCATGGTCTTCTCCTGGCAACTGACGTGACTTGATGACTGATGTAGGCTTGCACAGCAACTTCTAGATGCAGTGTCACAGTTTCTTCGAGCACGCAATCTCGCAATATGAGTATTCTCTTTCCCATACCACCACCAATGCCTTGTTGGTTCAAAATTATACGACACTTCATGCATGATAAATCTAATTATAATAAAGGACTTGGGTATCAATAAGGGGTTAGCTAAGAATAATTGGACAATCGATTTGATTAAGTGGTGGATATGAATCAATGTCTATGATATAGTAGGCTAGTGGCTCACAATGTTGAAATTTTCACCCAATACCGTGTGTTTGTTTAATCACTCAGTTCCACTGGGATCGGGTTGCTACAACTCGAAGTAGGCCTATAGGTGGTGAAACGTAGGCCTATATCACTAAAAAAAGATTTTTGGGGTCCAATGATGAACCCATTTCAAGGGTTTTCTTTCGGTCACTCCATTTGCAATAGGGACCCTTAAAAGTACTAAATATTTTTTTTCGTATGCAAATAAAAAGTACTAAATAATCTTTAAAAGAAATTTATGATACAATACAACCCACTCGCTGACCATACTGTTTCTATTTACCAACTACTATCTCTGTCACACTTCTTTCGCCACCCAACTACTCTAACCACCCTGGAAATCACACTTTCCACATTTTCTACTTACCATATTATTTATTATTTCCACTTCGCTTATAAATTGAGAACACTCAGTTCATTTCTTGCATCAAGCTTCACCCTTCTCCACTTGATTTCCCTCTTAGTCTTATGCGTCATACATATGGCAATAGCGAACAATTAGCCTCCTATACAATAATGGTAGTCTACAACAAATATGTAAAACTGTATGTCCCTTCACATTGCCCCTTCCAACTCTTTGAAATATTTGGCATGCCATTGTCATGGAAGTTCTCACTGAACAGCCAGATCCCCCGAGTTGAAAACTTCTATGATGATGCCTGCGTCATACGAGAAATTCGGCCACAATCCCGAGTCATAACGCAGCCCAAGGAAATTCGTAGTGCGAATGGCGAGAAGATTCCCAAAGATCTCTGAATATGTGGCAACGTAGGCTGTGCTGTGTCGCAATCTCATAAAGTTGAGATTCTGTCAGCCTACAACGAAGCCCTTGCATGACATGGGCGTAGCTGTAGAGGAACAGCTGGTCATTAGAGATGGGGTTGACTAATGATTGGAGAAGGGATACGTGCCATGATTCGTGAGTTGGGGAAGGGGAGGGCTTTTGGAGATCGTGCTCTAGCTGGATAATGTAAGTGTGGTATTGGGGATGAGGGTTTTTGTGTGTCGTAACATAACTGAGGAAAGAGAGAAAGTTGACAAGAAGATAGATAGTTATGACAACCATTATAAGAATGCTTGGTTTTAAGCCAGTTAGCACCAAAGAAGAAGGATTGATGAAGTTTGATGAATGGAAAATGAGCTGCAACTATGCTATATTTATATGTCAAGTCACGCAAAGTGACTTTGGTAATAAGAAAAAGCGAGAAGACATGAAGACTGTGTCATCTGTACCTTTGGAAGTTGTTTTTAGGGTAAAAGGAGTGTGATCCCCAAATTGGAGAAGAACTTGTGGTAGTTGGTAACAACAAATTTTAGAGAATCAAATATGATGTGCTGATATTGGAGGCAACTAAAGTTTTATGTCTATAAAATTTTCTTCTTTTTCTCCATTCGTTATACTTTTTTGTAATTGAGATTGTATAAGATTTGAGTTGAGTTGAAAAATCCATGATGTCACTTTCTCATCTTCATTCATATTTATGATTTTCTCATTTTTCACCAATGATCTCATTCTCCTCTTCCTTTTCCTCTAGTTTATGAATGAATCTTATCATTTGCAATGTCCTAATAGGTCGCTTCGTTGTAGCTAGCTTGCAGTTGGCCAAGGTGTATTGTAATTTGTAAGTCATAGATGTGGCTATAGTTTAAATTATTATATAAAATACATGATATGTTATATTTTTTTTTGACAAACGTGATATGTTATATTTGTTATATAACAAAATTTATAACCCATTTTTTATTTAGATTATTATAAAAGTAATATGTTTACTCATCCAATGGGTATATAAAATCATAAGAAGCAATTATTTTGTATTGTCTTAGCTTCATTAACGGTAGGCCTGGCAAAATTACTACCCAACCCGTCCCGAACTCCCACCCCCTCCGAAAATAGGAATTTTTATAACCCAAAATCTGAATGAACCGAACCCAATTAACATGTGATTTTTTTGGGTCGGGTTGGGTGGGTTAGCGGGTCGACCCTTTAGACACGTTCAATTTCATATGTAACCCAAAAATGATAAAATCAGTCATAAATTGGTGAGATGTTTAAAAAAATTCAGAAGGAGTTGATAGACATGTTTGGAGTTTAAGGATAACAAAATATTATATGTTTCTTGTAGTGTATTACTCTTGTGATTTGTTTTCTGACGATTTGTACAATTTGTATTTCATTTCATTAGCATGCGAAGGTTTAAAGAATATGTTTATTGACATGTGTTAGGTAAACTATTGCCATGCATATGTGAAGATTTGTGTTTTAAAAAAAAAATGAAACATGTTGGATACTGTTTCGAGGAGCGCTCATAACTCGAAATGACTTGTAACCCAACTCAAAACCGAATGGATTTGATCAATATTTAACCCAAAATAAGTCAACCCAACCCTACATGATCCGACCTATAACTTGAAACCCCAACTCAAAATTACTCAACCCGACCCGATTGCGAGTTTCTTTTGTCCCTTCCAGGCGATCGGAAAAGAAAGAAATAGTTAATATATTCAAGATGATTACACATTTACAAAATACTGTCTCAATTCATTCTATTTCATCAGATCCGGTTCGGATAAACGGGCCAAGAGATACACTCAATACTCATGCAGGCAAATGCAGAGCGATGAAAACTGCCTTCGGATTTCCTTTGGTCGCACAACGTGGAGGGACACCCTAGAAGGAGTAACGAACTCGTCCAACATAAAATCGCCAGGTTTGGTGCCGTTTCTTTGAGTATGTCACAGTGGTCGACTCGTCTTATTTAAACTGCCGCAAAATCGTCATACTGGTTAGCGTTTTCTGTGCTGTGGCTTACCTTAAAGTGGCCGTCGGACTCGGAGCATTTTCACGTCGTAACTCCATAATCCACTTCCGCCATCCGTGGAGCAAAAATGCCTGAAATGGCGACGGGGAAGCAACAGAAGAAGGCCGAAGGAGAAGAAGACCCAAATGTCAATCCTCTAATTTGCTCTGCGGAGCTCATCCTTCCATGGCTGAACCCACGAGAACTCGCCAGCGCCGCCTCCACTTGCAAAACCCTAGCACAACTCTCCCGGCTCATCACTCTCCGGCGAACCTCCGACGCTACCAGATCCTTGGAGAAACTTCCCGTTCCTTTCCGCGGCAGCAGCCAGAGAAACTCCCCGCCATATGCCTATTTCCTGTACGCTGAATCTCAGCTGCTCTCGTCCGAATCCCCCGACCGCCAGCCGTGGGGTTCCCCAAGTTCCTCCACCGTCGCTGGAGCAGGCTCATCGAAACAATCAGCCGCGGAGAACGGCTGCGGATGCGGTTGCGAGGGATGCGGAATTGGGAATCGAAGTTTGGAAAGGGAAGAGCTTGAAGTGGGAGTACTCAGCGAGTGCGGATCAGGTTGCGGATGTGGATTGGAATGCAGGAATCGATTGACCCAGAGAGGAATTAGGGTTAAACTGAAGATTGTTTGGAGTGAAAGGAAAAGCTGGTGCTTGTTGGCCGATCAATTGATTCCACAAGGCCAATTCGTCTGTGAATATACCGGTAAATCCGCCATTTTCACCTCCTCTGTTTCTTCTGATCTCTTTTACTTGAATCAACGAAGTTTGTTTATAGGCTTAGAATCATAATTTTTTTTGGGGTCATTTTGTATCCTGGCATATAATAAGTTCTAGCTATCCAACCCAATGAATATTCGGTAAACCATGGGCGCCGGCGATTCAGGCAATTTATTCTAATAATCCGCACGCATTGCTTTGGAACAGGGGAACTGCTGACAACCCAAGAAGCAAGACGCCGGCAGCAGGCCTACGACGGCGGCCGGTTCTCTTCTTCAGCACTTTTGGTGGTGAGAGAGCATCTCCCATCTGGGAAAGCTTGTTTGAGGGTGAACATTGATGCGACGAAGATAGGGAACGTGGCGAAATTCATCAATCATTCCTGTGATGGCGGGAACCTGTGGACGGTGTTAGTAAGGAGCCCTGGAGCTTTCTTGCCTCGGCTCTGTTTCTTTGCCAGCAGAGACATTAGCAAAGACGAAGAGCTCTGTTTCAGCTACGGCCAGAGCAGGGCGAGGCCGAATGGGCGGCAGTGCTTCTGTGGCAGCCCTGTTTGTTCTGGAACTTTGCCTTCTGAAGCGACTTAGTTTAGTGCACTGATACGGATTTCCATATCAGTTTAACTGAGAATCTATTCAGGACCTTTCCATCCCATTTTTAAGAAGAAAAAAAAAAAGGCCATTCCCCCTGAGATCTGCCATAAAGCTTCGTATCTGCGTTTCACTATCTTTCTCCAAATCCAAGAACCAAAAGCAGACGGATTGACATCTCAAATTGACCGTTGCCTAATTGTATCTCTAGTCCAAGGGATCCCATAAGGGTAAATTGTATTTGTACCTAAATACGATTTTTGATAACCTTTTTTTATATTAGGGGAACAGAGAAGATAATGGATTTTAGTATAAGAGAGAGTGCGGGTCACGGGAGATAATATAGTCTGCTAATCACATCACAATCACATGACATATTCACAGCGTCCTTTCTTCCTCGCTCTCCCCCCACTTCTCTTCTCTCCCACTCGCAGTGTTCTCTCTTTCTGCGAAACCAAAACGTGAACTGAATTCCAGGTAAAGACAGTCAGCCGGCCGGAGACCGCTCGATTTCCGGCTACAGAGCTCACTGACAGTTGGGACAACGGTACGTAAATGACAGGCAGCAGCAGTATCAGTATCCTGGACCTCGACCAAGGCTACCCTGTTATGGCAGTGGCTGCGGCTGAGGCCGAGACCTCCTCTCCACTTGCTTCCAACCCCACGGATGCCGTCATCTTCTTCGGCTTGTCTTTGGTGCTAGGGATTGCCTCCAGGCATGTGTTGCGGGGTACTAGAGTTCCGTACACGGTCGCACTCCTCATCATTGGGATTGCCCTTGGATCCCTAGGTTCTCCACTTTCATTCCGATCAATCCTGAAAACATTCCAGCTTCCGCGCCTCGGTTGCTGTAACTCAGAGACGGATTTCTCACTCTTTCTTTTCTTTTTTGGGTTTTGTTTGGATTTTTCTGCAGAATATGGGACCAGTCATAAATTGGGAAAGATCGGCGATGGAATTCGGATTTGTAAGTTTCCCAATTTCGTCTCTTTATCTGTTTCCTGAGAGTGGGATGGGATCCATGTTTGGAGATTTCAAGTCAACGGGCATACAATTCGCCTTTTTTTTTTGTTTTTGTTTCAATCTGCAGGGGCAAGTATTGATCCCGACCTTCTGTTGGCCGTTTTTCTTCCTGCTCTGCTGTTCGAGAGTTCCTTCTCAATGGAACTCCATCAAATTAAGGTTCGTTCTATACACACAGTGATTGTTGTCCACCCCTCTTAAACTGGCTTCATAGGAACCTTACCAATGATGAACCCTTGTGTGTGCTTTACTATGGACATTGAGAAGCTTCTTGAAATAACAAGCAAGTTTTGAAGTTTGCATCGACATTCTCGGGGTAACCCAAAATGACTGTAGATAAGCAAGAACTCATGAGAAACATATTTTGTGCACTTAAGCAATTACTTCTCCTCTGCCAATGTTTGTACAGAGATGCATGGCACAGATGCTCATACTTGCTGGTCCAGGAGTTCTGATATCGACATTTTGCCTTGGATCAGCTTTGAAGGTATCTTAGTTTGTATGACTGAGTCCCCGAATAGAAGCTAGCCATATATTTTTTTAACTATAACATGCACAATACTGGACTGCAGCTAACTTTTCCGTATCACTGGAGCTGGAAAACATCATTGTTGCTTGGGGGACTTTTGAGTGCCACAGACCCTGTTGCTGTTGTTGCTCTTTTGAAAGAGCTTGGTGCTAGCAAAAAACTTAGTACAATTATTGAGGGAGAATCCTTGATGAATGATGGGTATTTTCCCCCCCTTTTTGGTTATACATATACTTATCTTCTCAGGAAATTTATACTTCAATTTATTGGTATCGAGTAGCTGATATCTTTCTCTTGTTTAAATGCACTTGTCTGTGTATCCAGTACGGCTATTGTGGTCTATCAGCTTTTTTTCCGGATGGTCCTTGGGAACACCTATGATGGGGGTGCCATCATCAAATTCTTAACACAAGTCTCACTTGGAGCGTAAGTCTCATCTATTACTTCAGTCCCAATGGCAAAAAGGCTTTATGACACTCTTTTTCCCTGGTCCAGTGTAGGTATTGGTCTGGCTTTCGGAATCGCCTCTGTTTTATGGCTTGGGTTTATTTTTAATGACACAGTGATAGAGATTGCACTTACACTTGCTGTGAGCTATGTTGCTTATTTCACCGTACGTACCTTTCCAACTCTAGGCAACTCCACAGTGTCTTATCTGTAATGTCTGGTTCGTTGTGGTGAAATGTCAACCACAACAGATTTTCTACATTCCATCTGTACCCTTTTGTTTTGGATTATTAGAAGAATAATGCATAGCCAGTTTTCTTTTTTTAATCGGCTTTAAAAATTGTAGTAAAGAAATGTGCATCTTCCATAAACGGTTTAGTAGGTTCAGGTTGTCTGGATCGTTGTTGTTTGTGCCTCTTATTAGAGCTTGTTAGGGCTGTTTTCTAAATGTAGTTTTGTGCATCTTTCATGTTCATGTCCATGTTATTACTCACTGTATCTATATCATCATGAAAAGAATCCATTCAACCCATTTTTGTTTATCTCAGGAAAACTTTTGCATTTTTAGTAACTTTTTGGTCAAAATCTTTAGCTTGTAATTTCTCAATTTTGATTTTGAGCTGAATTTTGCTAGTGTCTTATGTGACAGGGGCAAGAGGGTGCTGATGTCTCAGGGGTTCTGACTGTGATGACACTAGGAATGTATGTTTATGATTTATGGATAACTACTGCACTCAAGTAAAATTGGTATCCTCCCTCATCGTGGCCTTTGGACAGGTTTTATGCTGCAGTTGCTAAGACGGCTTTCAAGGGTGATGGGCAAGAGAGCTTGCATAATTTTTGGTGCGTCTTTATCTTCTAAATAACCTCTCTGGTTATGGCGATGTTGGGAAATGTTTTATTTGTCCTGGTCTGCATTGTGTTTGGAAAGTGTTTTGCCCTTAACCAATCAATTGGACTAAAGCATGTTTGAATTCTTAAGACAGTCTTGATCTGCATTTTGTTTGATCATATTTTAAACTGTTCAAGTTGGGAATCTGAAGTTTCCTGATCTGCATGCTGTTTGGAAAATGTTCTACCCTTAACCAATCAATTGGACTAAAACATATCTGAATTCTTAGAAAGTCTTGATCTGCATTGTGTTTGATCATCTTTTAAACTGTTGAAGTTGGGAATCTGAAGTTTGTCGTGGATCAATAGTTTACTTTTATTCTAGAGCTTAAGTTTTCTATTCGATGCTGCTGTCAGTACTTTGATATGGGCAGTAGCCAGCGGCCTGTAATTAATGATGTTATGTTTTCTGTTTTCAGGGAAATGATTGCTTATATTGCAAATACTTTAATCTTCATCTTGAGGTGAGAGCACGGTAATCGGTACAATTAAGGTCTATCAAATCATGAACGCCTGTGGTATTTCACCATTTTAATATATTTCGCTGCTTGCCAGTGATGAATTTACTGAGATGGGGGGGGGGGGGGGGGGGGGTAACGCAATCAGTAGCGGAACTTCCAGAACATGCTACTGCAATAAAAAAGGCCCAGCACATAAAGCATGTTCTGCTGCACCCTAGGATTATGAATTCTGATGATACATTGTTTTTATTTGCCAAATATGTGTTTTGAGAGAATACATGGATCAGACAGAGCAGAGGATTCTAAGACAAGGGGGCTGACTTTTAAGATTGGTTCAGAATCTGGGTTTCTTATTCTAATTCACTTCATAGATCTATTTTTCCTGGAGCCTGATTTGGTCCATATGTCTTCTTCATCTCAATAGGACTAAGAAGAGTTTTACACCAATGCTGTACTACTCCTGCTGAGGCACTGTATGCAGTAAGAATAGCCAAAAAAAAAAAAAATCTGGAAATGCATTTGCTGTGAAAGTTCATAAAAATTTTAAGGCAGTAATACAAATTATATTTAAAGCACTGCGTGCTGCAATGACATAAGTTTAAATGCTCTAAGTCTTAGTACTTGGCTGTAAGTGACCACATGGATGAGTTTCTTTTTCTCTCTCCTTTTATGACAACTGCAGCATCACATACTTTTTCGAGGAACCATGAAGCTCTTGCCATCCGGGTTGTTTTAATTTGTTGAATCTATATCAGAATTACCTCAAGACTGAAAAATAACATCATAATATAGTCCCAGTATAGGTTGTATGCATAGTTATCGTATTATGAATGCTAAGTTCGTACATATTAATGTTGGCTCGAGGAAAAACCTAGTTGTATTTATCATATAACTTAGCTTAAGGTGAATCAAAGGGACATAGCAAGTCAGAAGTGCATGAGGCTTTCAGTACTTATAACTCCAATTATGGTAGATGTTCTTTCTTCTCAGGATCCAAGTTTGCTGTATTTTATTATTTTGTGTCTCTTTTTCTTGAAATACGTTTAAGCATAGATATGCACAAAATACGCGACCAAATTAGTAATTTTAAATATGTTTCTTGTCTTCTCTGCTCTGCAGTGGTGTTGTTATAGCTGAAGGTGTTCTGGGCAGTGACAGCATTTTTCACAACCATGGTATTATTACTTTCGATCTTAGAATAGCCTATGTTTCCTAATAGACTTGTTTAACAAAGTGGCTCATGAATACAATTAAAAAAAAAGAAGTAATCTTGAAGTTTCAGGAGCTCATATAAGAAATTCAAATATTAATGTTATAAACTCCAATTAGGATCTTAATATGGGATCAGTGTACTTCTTTTTCCTTAACAATCCTTCTCTGGAGTTCGTCAACTCTTGAAGTTGATAGCAATTTTTTTAGAATCATTGCTTCTTGTTCTTGTAGTTGTGCAACTGTTGCATTTCCAACTTGTAGCGCTTTCCTTTTATGACAGAGTCTTTTGTTTCTACATGTTCTTGTCTTTCCAATAACTCATTTAGCTGTTTGCATGTTTTTACAGGAAATTCTTGGGGCTACCTTATTCTTCTGTACATTTTTGTCCAACTATCACGTTTCGTTGTTGTTGTGGTTTTGTTTCCCTTTCTACGGTGTTTTGGTTATGGGTTGGAATGGAAAGAGGCCACTATTCTCATATGGTCAGGTTTGCGAGGAGCAGTTGCATTGTCGCTTGCACTGTCTGTTAAGGCAAGTTTCCTCTATCTAATGATCAATTTTGAGTATGGGTTTGGGAATTTTATTTCCCCCTAGGCCCCTGTGCATACGTGGTATGAAGTTGGGGTATATGAGCTTGTCTATCACTCTTATATGAATAGCTCACCGTTCACTTTTTTCGAGTTTCTAACATTTTTTCATCTTGTGTGCTACAGCGAACTAGCGATAGCTCAACTTATATCAGTCCTGAGACTGGAAAGCTGGTGAGTCCTCGTAGCACGCTTGCTTCCTTTGTATGGACTGTTTACAATGTTAAAAAGAGAGATCTGTCCATGAGAATGATTCTTCTTTATTAGTTTACTTTCTTGATGGATCAGGGTGATGGTTTACTGCTCTTTATGGTTAATCAATGTTTCCTTGACTTCTGTAGTTTGTTTTCTTCACGGGAGGAATTGTGTTTCTGACGCTAATTGTAAATGGATCAACTACCCAATTTGTTCTACATCTTTTGGATATGGACAAGTTATCAGCTACTAAGGTGAGTTTTGAAGTTAGTGTACAACTTCTTGTTTAAGTTTTGCTCATGGGTAATATGTCCTAAAATACATATCTTTGCAAGTACCATGCAACCTCAACGAATCTGTATGAGTTAGTGCCTTCCTCTTGCTACTTGCTTAAGAGTTAATGGATTGTGCATATGCTCTAATATGGCACTGTCTACTTTCCAGTCGTTTGGAGGTTTCTCTGCTCACCCTTTTCCTTATTCTTTTATCTTTCTCTAGAAACGCATATTGGAGTATACAAAATATGAAATGTTGAATAAAGCTCTAGAGGTTTTTGGCGATCTTGGAGACGACGAAGAACTTGGACCAGTGGACTGGCCTACTGTTAAAAGATACATTAAAACCTTAAGCAGCTTGGACGGAGAAAGTGTACATCCACATGGGGCATCTGAAACCAACACTGATCTTGACCCTACAAATGTGAAAGATATTCGAATACGCCTTCTGAATGGTAAGCACCCTTCATTTCTAGTTGTGTGTTTCTTGTGAATGATCAGTTCATGGAGCAGAATGTGTGTACTTGGATGTGAATGTATTCTTTTTGTTCTTGGCTGAGGGGTGTTCTCTGATTTACTGTATGTCAAATCAAAAGAAAATATACATGTCTAGTGACTTATCAGCCTTTGGATACCAAATAATGAAAAGAAAGATCTCATCTGCACCATATTTGTTGTGTAACTTACAGATCTGTTATCCTTTTTCTTTTTCTCTTTGTATTTCCCATCTGTAAATAACTGAAATGTTTGCCGTATTAACTACCGTTTCTATGCCTATATATTTGCTACTGAAGCATTCCCCAATCCTTGGAGCCAAAATAGAAATACCATCTAAGATCCGAGGTTTTCGGCACTTATGTGGAGCGAAATTCACGTCTAAAAGTCGGCAATTGAAGCATTTGCCAATCATTGGCTTCTTTTGGTTATACTTTCTCGAGAAGTGTCTGCTGCAATTTAATCTTATAGTTCACTATGAAGTCTTAAGTTTTATAGTGCTTTTATTCCTCTTTTATCTAACCATACCCTTAGTCTGAGCGACTGCACCTTTTTATCCTTATCTCTATTTAGTTGGCATTGCAGAAGATAAACTAGCTACTATGATCAGCCATTTGAAAGAAACAGAATGACACACTTTACTAGGGTTCTCATAAGTAGTTCATTACTATAAGGAGATGGAGAGCTTGTCATTTCTATACTGATGCCTATAACTGTTTTTTTTTGTTATACTTTCTCGAGAAGTGTCTGCTGCAATTTAATCTTATAGTTCACTATGAAGTCTTAAGTTTTATAGTGCTTTTATTCCTCTTTTATCTAACCATACCCTTAGTCTGAGCGACTGCACCTTTTTATCCTTATCTCTATTTAGTTGGCATTGCAGAAGATAAACTAGCTAACTATGATCAGCCATTTGAAAGAAACAGAATGACACACTTTACTAGGGTTCTCATAAGTAGTTCATTACTATAAGGAGATGGAGAGCTTGTCATTTCTATACTGATGCCTATAACTGTTTTTTTTACCTATGATACATGTGGAGAGAATATGTAGTGGGGAGCGTATCAATTGTGAATCCAAAGCAACGGGGGAATGTATGAAGACTGTATTTGTATAAAACGATAACACCCCATTGCACACACATCTGCTGGTAATAGTTGAATTGACAAACGCAATAAGCTATTTAGACAATTAAAATTGGCAATAGTTCGAGCAAACCGATATAGCACTTTGCATAGTGAGAAATGTACGAGTGTTGAAGATTGTAGATCCTCATTGTAGAATAGGATCACAGTGAGAATAGATGTTGCTCTGTCCCCAAGTCATGTAAACTATCTATGTACTTCCAGCATGGGATTATTTATCTTCATAATTCTGCAAGTTGAGGTGTACTCTCCTCCTTATGAGTGGACTTGCTAGCTAATCTAAGAAAATTATCCTTGTACTAGGTGTTCAGTCGGCTTACTGGGTGATGCTCGAAGAGGGAAGGATAACACAGTCAACTGCCAATATCTTGATGCAGTCCATAGATGAAGCGATGGACTTGGCAGCTCATGAGCCTTTATGTGATTGGAGGGGCTTAAGATCAAATGTGCATTTCCCCAGCTACTACAAATTTCTTCAGACAAGCTATTGCCCTCCAAAAATGGCTACTTTTTTCACTGTCGAGAGGCTGGAATCTGCATGCTATATATGTGCTGCCTTTCTGCGTGCCCACAGAATTGCTCGTCAGCAACTGCATGACTTCATAGGTAACTGATGCTTTCTGTTACTTACTATTGCTAAAACAACAATTGATAGACTACATTTGGGCGCTTGGTTTTGGAAGTCTGAAAGTCTATTAGCTTAAGTCTTAACTGAAACTTTGCTTTTTTTAAAACAACTGAAACTTAGGATCGATCTTGTAAACCTCAAACTTACTGCCATATAAGTGATTTCAATGTTCTCTTTTCTCTTTCTGATATAAGAAGCAATTTATCTATTGCATCCTGTCAGACATGATTATGTTAATGCCAGCTTTGGAGAATCTGATTCTTATTGTGTACTTGTAGGTGACAGTGATATTGCTTCTATTGTCATTAATGAAAGTGAGGCTGAAGGAGAAGATGCAAGAAAATTCTTGGAGGACGTTCGTGTTACATTTCCTCAGGTTTGTGGTGATGTGCATTATATTCCTATTCAAATAAACTTGATTCTGTTTGGAGTTGGTGGTGGAACTCTTGATCTTGTTGTATTAGGTTTGGTTTTGGCAGGTACAATTTTTCTTCTATGGTGAATTTAAGATGATATATTAATAATTAGGATCCATTTCATATTCTTTTACTGTGTTTCTTTCAATTTGTAACAAACAAGGGGCCACTGGACCATGGAAATTGAAATTGTTAATCCAAACTTTCTCAGGTATTACGTGTAGTGAAGACAAGACAAGTAACCTATTCAGTGCTTAACCACTTGATTCATTATGTTCAAAATCTTGAGAAGTCTGGCTTATTGGAGCAGAAAGAGATGCTTCATCTTCATGATTCTGTGCAGGTGCATAACCTATACTCTTTGTATGCGTTACTCCAAGCTGATTCTTTGGTAACTTTGCTAAGTTAGATAGTTTAATACCTTCTCATTGCAGACCGACTTGAAAAGGCTGCTCAGGAATCCTCCTCTTGTAAAGATACCCAAAATAAACGATTTGATCAGTGTACATCCTTTGTTGGGTGCTCTCCCACCTGCCATCCGCGAACCACTTGCAGGTTCAAGCAAAGAAATAATGAAACTGCGTGGCGTTCCAATTTACAAAGAAGGCTCCAATCCTACTGGTGTCTGGTTTATTTGTAATGGCGTTGTCAAGGTAAGGGCATGAACATTTATGGGATTGAATGGATTAGTTGGCTTCAGGAGTACTACTTTTTGATGTCTCCCATCTCCTTTTGTTTTTTAGTTTATTTGTTTCTGTTTGAAAAACCCTTCACTATAACGCCTATTGTTTGTAGTGGACAAGTAAGGGCATGAGGAGCAGGTACTCGCTTCATCCAACTTTCACCCATGGTAGCACACTGGGCCTATATGAGGTTCTAGTAAGAAAGCCATACATATGTAATATGGTAACTGACTCCGTGGTGCTTGGCTTTTTTGTTGAAAGTGAGAAAATACTTTCAGCATTAAGGTCCGACCCAGCAGTTGAAGCTTTCTTATGGCAGGTACTGTTTATGATCTATTGGAATGCAGAATATATATCTGATACCACGTTTTTGTGATTGACTTAACCCAATGAGAGTGAAAGAAAATGAATATGGATTCTCAGTTATATGGGTGGTAGTGCGTTGCCTTTTCATTCACCTAGAAGGGGCAGAATAAAGTACATCAGATTATTATCAGTTTGTACTTCTAGCAATCTTCAATATCTATCTTTTGCATGCATATCAGTAGTTCACGATGGTTAATTTTTGCAGGAAAGTGCTATCGTTCTAGCTAAACTCTTGCTTCCACAAGTATTTGAGAAAATGACAATGCATGACTTGAGAGCTCTTATTGTAGAACGGTCAGTGATGACCACCTACATCAGGGGTGAAACCATAGAAATACCTCCTCGCTCCATTGGGTTTCTTTTGGAGGGGTTCATAAAATCGCATGGTGTCCAAGAAGAATTGGTTACTTCACCTGCAGCTTTATTTCCAGCACAAGGGAATCAAAGCTCTCAAAATGTACATGGGATGCATGGAGGTCAAAGCTTCCAGAGAGGCTCCATGTCAGGTAGCGTGAAAGCTTCTTCCTTTACCCCTTTCTCATACTGTGCATCAGCTCTTTTTTTGGCAGCAGTATGAGGCTTCACTACTGTAATCTTTTCAATTGCCTTCGAATTTGTCTACTTAGTGACTGACTCTTTTCATTTAGAAATTGTGACCAAATCTTGATTAGCTGTCAGTGTTTACATTGTTGTAGCATTGAGTTTTGTACAGAGACTTAGACAAATTTTGTTTGCACAGCACAAAATAAAATAAAAAGAAAAAGCTGATTGAAGAATTCTCTGAAGTTTAAACATAGTTTATTCAACAACAAAAAATGAAGTTTATTATATATTTTTGTTTTGTTGTGGCGGAAGAAAGTTTTATGACCCCTGGATGAGTTGTGTCTTTTGCATTTTGGGGTTATTGCAGTGTTTTTTTGCTCCCTGTCTGGGTATAGCTAGGGAACCACTAATGGAGCTCATGGATTTACAGGTAGAAACGCCTCTAGTTTTTCGCATCAGGGGTTGTGGTATCAGGTTGAGACAAGAGCAAGAGTAATCATATTTGATACTTCAAAATTCGAAGCTGACGGTGGTCTAAAGAGGAGGTCATCCTCGTTGATATCAATTGATCATGTCCATAGACCCCTTAGCAAAGAGCACGGCGGCCTCATGAGTTGGCCAGAAAGTTTGTACAAGCAGCAGAAGGAAAAGGTCCAAAGAGAGGGTCGGCCAGCGAGCAGCTTATCAGCAAGAGCAATGCAATTGAGCACCTTTGGCAGCATGGTACAACTCAACATTTTCTCACATATCCTCTCTGTTGTGAAGTTTGTATTCGCTAAAACGTTGAGTTGGTTTGTTCGCGTCCTAATTATTAATCTGTGGTGGAAAGGTGGATGTGGGCGGGCGGGCTCCCACTTCTTGGAGTGCTGGAGCGAAAGGATCACGTAGCATGGGGAAAGCTGCATCGTTCCATGGATATCCGGTCATCTCTAGTGAAGCTAAGCGAAGCGGGATGGATGTTGGTGGGGTGGAAAAGGCGTCGTCGAGGGATGCAGGTGAAGGTGGTGTGACAATGAAAGGAGGGCAGAGTGTGGAGGAGAGGAGTGACAGTGAGGATGAGTCAGGGGCAGAGGACGAGGATGTTATCATAAGGATCGACTCGCTCAGTAGGCTGTCCTTCCGCCAGAATTCGTAAAGCTGTAACCAACCAACCAAATCCTGTACATGGTAATGTAGGGTGTTTTCAAGTACGCCGAACCGGGTGCAAGCTCCACCACCAACCCCAAGGAATCTGTAGTGGCTTGTTTGTGTTTTATGTTTAGGACGAATGACAATAAATGAAGAATATCAATGCACTGCTTTGCTTTGTCTTCGCTTTGATTAGCCTGCAAACACCCCTATCTTTCGTAGCACTGGCATCACAGAACTTGCCCTTCCGATCCTTGATGATGCATTCAAGACCGATGCCATAATGCTGCAGAATACCCGCATAAGAGTTTAACTTGAAGACTCCTTCTGGAGGTGTAGACCATATGCCGGGAAGAGCAGACTAAGTGCATGAAGAGGAGGGCGATCCTTTGGAACTGTGAACATCGAGCAAGGAGCAGAGCCAGCCCAAGGATGGTCAGATAATCTCATCCTCATCAAGTTTATAGTTGTTGTTCAGATGGTTGCAACGTTCCTTCCACATGTACACCATAACACCGCACTGAATTTTTGAATTTTTTCTTGTTCGAACATCTCTCAAACTTCCTTGAACCAGTCAAGACAAGATTTACCTTCCCCAATCTCAAACATCTCTTTCCCATCTTGCAATGCATGTATTTGAGTTTCAGGAAGGCCACAAAATGTTGGCATCCTCAATCCAATCCTCAATGTGACAACCCATCGGTAAGATATTCCTTCATGCTTTCCATAGGAAAATGCACACTTTAGGCGGAACATAAAATTTCCACAAAAGATTCCAGGACTCAAGAGTCCTTAGTAGAAGGGATGTAGTCTCGAGATATGTAGTTTAATTGTAGAGCACGGATTCAATAATAGGCAGATTTGACTAAGTAGACTCCATCTTTAGTGTCAATCCAAACTTGCTTGTCTTTATTTAGATGAACCAGAAGAGTAATTTTGGAGGTGAGGGTATAGTCCCCCATAAAACTTCTTGCACAGAATGTTCAGGTCTCATCCTCCCATTTCGTGATCAATGAGAGAGCTTACCATTTCCTTGTGGTCCAAACTATAGGGTTGAGGATCAGCATGGAAAAAGCTTTTACCAGGAATCCATGCATCATCCCATGCCCGAATTGACTCCCCATTACCAATCCTCCATCTGAAACTTTCTTTGATTTTTTCCTTAGCTTCCACAATGCTTCTCCATATAAAGCTTGGTTTGTATCCCAAATTTGCGTTGAGAATATCAGTCTTCGAGAAGTACCTGGCCTTGAGGGTTCTATCCATAAGAGAGTTTGTTCTAACCAAAATATTCCAGACCTTCTTGCCAAGCATAGCCAGATCGAAAGCCCGTAAATCCTTCAAACCCATCACACTGTGTTCCTTCTCCCAATTTAACCAATGAATCTTAGTTTCCTTGCCCTTTTGTCCCCATCAGAAGTTGGAGATCATTCGTTGAATTTCATTTAGAGTTCTTTGTGCGATAAAAAAAAAAAAACAGTCATAGGATAAAGGAACTGAGCTTGAGCCACTACTTTAATCATCATTTTTGTTCCCGCCCGAGACAGTTCTACTCTTCCGAACTCTTTCTTTTATCTCTTCAAATAGAACTTTCTTAGATCTTCCCACAATAGTGAGGAGTCCAAGATACTTAGGATGTTTTCCGACCTCCTTGATCCCCCAAAGTACCACAAATTTCAAGCCTTCGGCTGATTCTCACATTGCTACTAAATGATATATAAGATCTATTGAAGTTATTCAGCTGACCAGACTTCTCGGCGTAGATATTTAGAATCTCCTTAAGCTTGTCACAGTCTCTAAGAGTAGCGTTCCCAAAAAACACACTGTCATATACAAATAGGAGATGAGAGATCTTAGGGGATTTTCTCCTAATTTGAATGCCATTGAGCTTCCCTTATTATTCTGCTTTTTTAACCAGTGTTGAAAAGCCTTCTTCACAAAAAGAAAGAGATAGGGTGATAAAGGATCCCCTGTCTCAATCCTCTAGTGGGAGAAAATCAATCAGACTTATGTCTATTGACAAGAATTGAGTAGGAAACCGAGGAAACACATTTCATAATGAGATCAATCCACCTCTCGTTGAAGCCAAGATTCCTCATAACTTTATTCAAGGAAAACTATTCAACTCGATCATATACCTTAGGCATGTCGAGTTTGGCAGCGAAAAAACTTTCCTTACCCTTCTCTCTCTACTTCATAAACTGAAAACATTCAAAAACAATAATCACATTGTCAGCGATACATCTTCAGGGACAAATGTGATTTGTTCCACAACAATAATATCTTCAAGAACAAGCTTTAATTTGTTGGCCAAAAACCTTTGAGATGATATTGTATATGACAACAAAATGGCTGATAGGTCTGAATTTCTTAGTTGTCGAATGGTACGTCACCTTAGGAATAAGAACAATAAGTGTGTGGTTAAGATCAGGGGAGCGAGTCCCTCCATTAAGGAAATTGAGACTGTTTTAGTTACCTTAGGACCAATAGCATTCTAGTTTCACTGAAAGAAACCCGCTGAAAAACCATCCGAACCTGGAGCTTTTTTCGGACCCATTTGATTTAATGCCCCTTTAATTTCATATGTTTTAAAAGGATGCATAAGCTTTTCATTCATGGTTGTGGTGATCTTCTTTTCAAAAGCCTGTACAACAAAATCATTGTTTGGGATGAGACCCCTAGTGAGAAGAGTTTAAAGTAATCATTGATGCATCCCACTACTTCCTTCTAACCCTTTTCGTTTTGCAACATCTGGATTGTATTTTGCTTTCTTTTAGCTGTAGCTTTTGAATGAAAAAACTTAGTGTTCTTATCTCCTTCTTTCAGTCAATCCGCCATTAACCTCTGTCTCCACATCATCTCTTCCTGATGAATAATCTAGACTCTCTCTTCCTCTAAGACCTTCCTCTGCTCAAGAACAATTTTTGTCTTCGGCTTATAATTGAAACCATTTTTGACAGATTCTCAATTCTGTCAATTTTGCTTTTGATATCACCAAACTTATTTTTGCTCAAACTCTTGAGTTCAGAACCATCCAATATTGCTGATTGACAATACCACATCTCTCGGGATCTTTGAACCAAAAAATTTCAACTCCTTTCTAGTAGTATAAAGGAGGATCAGGCAATGGTCAAAACCACACCGGTCAAGATGGTAATTTTGGTGATTAGGATACAAAAGTTTCCAATCCCAGTTAGCAATACATCTATTTAGGGCTGTTAAGTAGTGCGGTTATAGTTAAACTGAACCGCAAATGCGGTTAAGCGCCATTGATTACAGCCCAACCCGCCCACCATCATCTCAAATCTTGCAATTAATCGCCTCCGTAACCGCCACCACCGACCGTCCACTATCATTGGTTTTTAGTTGACCGTGTAACCGATTTTTTCTCTGCGATTACGCAATTAACCACACTAGTAAAGAAGCCCGCGCTCTGCGGCGGGGAGACTATATTGTGGGAATGGAGAGTTGTAAGCGAAAAAGCGGAGTCATTGTGCATGTGAATAGTTTGTACGTACATCGCGGATACATAAGTCTGTTGATGTTGAAGTGCAAATATTGCTAAATACTGGGATAATATAGGTAAGACAACGGTCGAGCACAATGACTTTCTGCGCAAGCGTTGACGTTTTCATTAGTTTATTGTTAAAGCTGGCTGCGGTCGAATGCAGAAAGTATAGTAAACTCCAGAGGAGTCTGAGCCAGATATCCAGGTTTAGGGAGTTGCACACAAAACGAAAACCAACATCCATTCATGGCCACAATTGCCGGAGGGAAATGGCCATGGCGGTGGGGATGCTGCAACAATAGTTCGTTTGCTGTAACTCCAAGCAAAGATTCAGCGGTCCTTTCCAAGTGCGACGAAGCACGCCGAACCAGTAGTGTCTCCGACAGCCAAATGAATTTTGTAGCTGTAAAAATGTATTAAAATTTCAGGGTTGAATTGGGCGTGCCCACTTGACTGATGGGGAAAAGGTGGATTTTAAACTAACCAATGTTCGGTTTCTTCAGCCTTTAGTTGGCCATGTTCTTCACAAAAAAAATCACCAGTGCCAGGAAATTCCCTAGCTGTCTTAAAGCAAAAGGCACATCCTAAGTAGAACCATGATCTTGAAGCCTCAGTGGAGAGGACTTGCGCCAAACAATAGTACTGGGTAGCCTGTAGGTAAACAAAACTGGTGAGAAAATTTAGCTAAGCAGCCAAGAAAATTTGTTAGTTTACTGGGAAAAGGGACTGGAAAACAGATCCATCTAGTGGTGAGGCAGAATAAATTTTGAAGCATGAAAATAATGGCTGGCTACATTAATAGTGCAGATTATGCTTTAACCTGCCATGAAGTAATAAGACACAGTGCTGTGACAGTAAAAGTTATGACAAAAGAACGCACGTCAACCATTGGATTTCTGGAAAGGCGGATGAGGTCCATAATTGTCTTGGTACTGTCAGCTCGAAACATTTCCTCTTCAAAATAAGTGGAAAAGCATGGAGGATAATATCGGATCGTATCTGTACCACCAGTAGCACTACAATTTCGAAAGTATATGAGATAAACGGAAAGTAAATTACTAAAAGCGGCATCTTGTAAGAGACTTACGTAGCACGCAAAACATTTGCCAATTCAGAAGATGGCTCCAAAACAAACCGTGTAGCGGAGGTGCTGGTTAAAAAAATGCCGCCTTTGGTAAAAGTAGGAAAGGAGATGTGAGTCGTCGTAGAATGGATTAGCAATAGCATTAACTGTGAGGGATAAAGGTGCAGTGTAAACCTGTTGTGGCGTCAGTAACTTGAAGACTGCATACACCAAGTATAACAGAACCCATGCGGCCAAGGTATGCTAGTTCTTCTCCATCTAGTGATCGAGCAACATCGCCACATATGGTGATGTTAACACGTATATTTCTGCAATAGTCAAGTGCAGGTTAGACGGAGATGATTGGAATTACGTTTAATCAACTACAAATGGAAAGGTACACAATCGCATTGCATTGAAAACCTTTCGTTTTGTATGACCAGTTTCCGCCTAATAATAGCACCAGTGGATGTTGCCGAACAGGATAACCCGCTCACAGAAACAACTCTGCCAACAACATCTACATTTGAAGAGGTGTTACAAGAGCGTCAATTCATTAGTGCAAAAAACCAAGTGAAGTATATGTGATGAGATTACAGTAATTGCCAGGTGAACCTATGAGCTGGTTTGTTGAGCGAGGTAAGCCGTGCAAGGAACTGAAGTGAAAAAACTCAAATGAATCAGCACAGAAACCCGGTGACAACATGGTTACATCCTCAAATATGGTTCCCTGAGAAAGGACCAAACTAAATCTATGGGAGCAAGGGCGGCACAGTGGCTGTGGTTTTGCCAGCTGGAATCCAGTAACTAAGTAGACACACCCTAGTTGCAGGTGTGGGCCAAATCGGTGACCTAAATGTGGTGTCGCGATGGCCTGGATTAAGGTTCCCTGTTAAACAGGGAGGAGGCGAAGCAAGAGAAATGACCGAAGAGCACAATTTGCACTGGCAATTGCAACAAAAAACGTTAAAGGAAATGCTATATTACCTTGGAATCGGTCCAAAGACTGCAAAACTGTGAGAGAATGGATGGATTTTCTGAATTGCAATAACCCCAAACA